AGTAGAAGGACGTAGAATTAAAAGAGAAAGGAAGATGAAAAATACACAGAAAAAGAAAATAACTCGAAATCACCATCTGCTAACGAAAGTTGAATCTGGAAAATGTCGTGGCGTGACAGCGGCCATTGACGTCATTTGTCACGTCAAGTCGCAAGAGCGTGGGAAAACGAGTCTGCAATGTCCTTATTTTTGTTTTAAAGCGAAAGTGAAACAAAAGACATTCATTTTTAAATAGTATTCGGTAACCTCTGCTTGGGAGATAAAAATCGGCCGATTTTATTTTTTAACCGGAAATCGTCGGTCGTTTCTTAGGCGCAGGGCCTCTTAATTATTTGGGTCGACTATTAGGTTCGGCACATGTAAAGTTCAACGTTTGAACCGGGCCTTAGAAGCTAACAATTATGTCAAAATGTTGCTTTTTCAATTTTCGTTTTAAATCAAATGTCTTTAAAGAGATTTTGAATACCGTAATTCAACTAAATACCGTGATGTTCAATACAGCGTTACGCGTGTAATGTGAAACCAGGGAAAAGTAACATAATGACATATCAGGTGACCTCCTGACCTCAGAGGTCAGTCGAGTTGTTTATTCAGCTGGTAGTCAGTCATCCAAAGGGGACTGATTTATTTACTCATGAGTCGACATGAGGTATATGGTTAGGAGAAACTGATTTGCTACGGTTTGAAGTGTATATTCTATCATATTTTTAAAGGACTCTCGACTGACCAAAACAATGAAAACAGCCAGGACTGTGTGTGCCACTCAGTGTCTCATCTCAAACTATAAAAATTGTCGTTGTCGAATTTTATGGCCGTTTATGCTCGCTGTTTTACTGGAAATATTTTACAGAACAGCTCACAAGGACACTGGGAAGGTAAAATCTTTTCTATAGCAGCAGAAGGAACGTAAGTAACGGTGAGTCGTTGTTTCCTGTTTTAAACCGTTGACTTCCAAACAATAATCTTGTGATTTGCATAAAATTGAGCTCGCTTACATGCCGTTACATTTCATTTTACTGACGGAGAACATATTAATTCCCGGAACTATAACATTTCGGGTGAAAAAAACAATAACCAAGGTTTCTTAAAATGTAGATATTTTGACCAAATGATATATACCAAAGGCCATTGTTCCTTGCCAAGAGACACAAATGGCGGCTGTACGAATACCCTTCGTTACAAAGCTACAAACAAAACTTCAAGAAACTTATTATACGATTTTAAAGTATAAGAATGAAATAATATTTGTGCCAAGTTTTGTTTTCATAGGATTGTTTTGACGTCCCCCGCTGTTTTCGTAAAGAAGCATGAAATTCCGAACATTTTAAGGCGCGAAAACCGCAATTATATGCAAATTTCGAACTTTCTT